ATGTGTACTTTTTTGATTGGTTGGTAGATCGTAGCTTTCCCCACCATAGGGTAGATGATTGGGGGGGAAACAAGGTGGGGGGAGAATCGCGAATCTCCACCCGCTTTTTTTTTTCGAAAAATGTCGAAAATGTATCCCGGAAAGAAGACGGGAGTGTGTTGACGATGCTTGGCCCCGTGAAATTCCTCGCCGAAAGAAGACGGGAGTGTCTCCCTGAAAGAAGACGGGATGTCTCCCCGAAAGAGGATGGGAGTGTGTTATTGATGCTTGGCCCCGTTAAATTCCATGCGAAAACGAACGGGTACAGGACATACGGAAATAGTCCCACGGTACAGGCGGGCATCGTATGTCTTCGACACTCGTAACTTTTCACACGCCGGACGAGGATCTCCCCAGCATGGCAAAGAGAGAGAGACAGAGGACGCCACATTATTTTCCAACTCAGCAAACGTTTGCGGGTGGAAGCCGGCGCCGCAACAAACGGACCCAGCCGCGTCATCAGCCTGACGAAGGGGCTCGTGGTCCTCCTGTGGAAACGACCCACCAGAGGGTATGTGCAGGACCGTCTCATCCATCCACCCGGCAAGACAAAGGCACCCCTGTCATTACATATAGAAGGAAGGCCTGCATAACTAGTCCGTCTGCTGCCCGCCAGAAAGACTATGGTGGTGAGTCCGGGAGGGCGACCTTGCGGGAGATAAGCGAAGGATCGGACGAGGAAACGGAGGAGGATCCTCGGATTAGTGTTGATCGGCATCCGCAGGGTAATCATGTCGTCGACGATAAGGAATATGGGGTCGAAGAGGACGATGCTGAAGAGGAGAAAAGGGAGAGAGAGAGAGAGGGAGAGGATCATAAGGAATCTATGCATGACTGTGAGGACGGGGAGTCTCGACAGTAGGACGAGGGGGACTATGGGGGCGATGGAGAAAACAATAATGTCTATCCTGGCGATGATGAGGATGGAGGGCAAGAAGGGTCGGCTGATGTGGAGGTCGATGAGGGAACAGGAGATCGGTCGGTGGGCAGTGTGCACAAAAGGAAGCGGCGATCTTCAATAAGTCCAACGGCGATGACGGATAAACGCGCTGCAAAGAGACTCACTGTCACTGCATCTTGAGAGGCACTAAGAGCTTCTCAAGAGGCGGTCGCTGAAAACATGAAGAACCGCAAAGGGAATGCATCAACCAGGACGACAAAAGCGGAGAAACGTCCACTGAAAAGAAAGCAAATGGTCAATGAGGCCGACTCCGGAGAGGACGCCGAAGGGGTTGCTCCAAGGACTCTGTCGGAACAGACACAACCTTCCGCCGACACCCGTTATGACGCCATCGACACAACAAGGTGCTTCTTCTCGGAGTTCGATGAGGATAGGTTTGAGAAGAAGAATCGGGAACACATTCAAGTGGATGTAACGAAGATTTTGCCAATTCCTGAAGGTGACATCCTCTTCAACCATAGAACATTGGACGAAACGTTGGTGCAGTCCATATATGATGCGATCCAGTATACGGCTAAGGAAACCAACGGGAAGTGGGATATCATGACTTTCATCCTGGCTCCCATTGTACCGAACGGGGACGGCTCTCAAGGCAGACGGATCACACCGAAGGAATTCGATGTCGCCCTGACTCACACATACCACCGGTATGCTGTTGCTGGCCAGCACACAGCTGAGGCAATGAACAGACTCATTAAGGACAAGTCACCTGCCGAGAAAGTGTACGGCTTGAGGTCGTACTCTCACGTACGCGTTGTCTACTTTGACGAGGACAAAAAAAGAGGATATCCGTACGTCTCGACATTCGACAACACGAGGGAGGAGCGTTCCATCCCGAGATTGTTTTCGTCGTCTATGCGGCAAATCAGAAGATTTTGGGATAAGAGGAACGACCGGATCCGTCCTCCGGGCACCGTGTCCCCGAATGACGTCGAGGAAATGGAACAAAAAAAGAAGTGGGAAGCGTTCATGAACGCCGCGTGCAAAATGACACCTAATTCCAGTCTCATGAACTCGTCCCTGGAGAACGACTACTGCAAGGACAGGACGAACAAGATACGCGAATACATGAATCTTGCGCTGTGCGGCGAGACTGTATGGCCACTGGTAGACAAATTCTTTGGCATGTACGAGAAAAGACTATTGCCAAGAATCGACGGTGTGAGATACGTCGATCTGCTGGGGAAAGTGGAAGGGAGGCTGCCTGGGCAATACTTCCTCAAGGACAACTCCGACAAAAAAGTCATGTACCAGTGCATCAAGGCCAGAAAGGGGCCGCAAGGCGCAACGGTGTCTATACTGGACTTGACGCCCTCAATCTTTACGCTGTTTGGCGATATGACAGCGAGAGAGAAGCAAGTGGCACTGCACCACATGATGCGTGGTGATGTCATCGTGACATCACGTACGGTACCTCGTGGTAGATGCAACATGGCGAACGTGGTAAAATATACTCGGTGTGAGAGATATATGGTCCGTATGTTCAACTACATATTGTTCAAGGTCGAGGGGAGGTCAAAGGAAGAGTGGAACGCTGACTTTTTCATCGGTTATACGACCATCTTGGAAAGGTACAGCAAAAACGGCCTCACTGACGATAAATGGACCGAGGAACGCGACCGCATCCCTGACGACAAGGCGAGGAAGGTATCGAGGCGTTTGGGCGGTCCTGATGAGATTCATGGCGGGAACGGTGCAAGGCTGGAGGCAACCTAAGTCATGTACAAGGAGACCCTGTTCCACCTCAAGTGTTTCATCTACGAGGCGATCGATTGCTTGGACGACTTGAGAGCGGAGGTGAATTTGATATCCTCCAATGCTCGTCACATCTTTTGGGAAGTGGGGAAAAGGATTACCATGATCCTGCCATATGAAATCGAACCGAAGGGAGTGCTCACTGACAACGAGAAGGTTGTTGGTACAGCGAGGGGGATGAAGATATAGGCAATCATTCTCGATATGTCAACATCACAAAAATGTGTTCCGTGGGATGATGACTCATTTTCCGAACTGCACGTTTTCCTCACGACATGCTGTGGCGAAAACTGGGCTTTGATCATTTTCGCGCCGATGAAGCACCAGAAACAGGTGATGCAGAGTGTGTACAAGTAGGACGATGTTGAGGTGCTCACTGGGTCATGGTACAGACACTACACACCTTCGACAACCGTGAACAAGTACGGCAACATTGCAGTTCGGTATATTGATATGATGGCTATTGTCCTCCACGCCGAGAACGACAATTTAAACAATATAACAGTTGCGCCAAAATTGCGAGCCGAATTGATAAATTTTAACATTGAAGAGGGTGAGTTTGTGAGGTGCTAAGGGGAGTGTATCGGCGTGGAGGGCGACACTGATGCGGTTTATTCTTGGATGGAACGAGAGCCTTCACGTCTCCGAAAGCTATGCAGCTCATTCATCAGGGAGGATGACGGCGTGATGCTGCTGGGCAGGGCGCATGCGGGACTGATTTGGGAACTGGCTCGCGCCGGACACCACGTGTTTGCGTGTGACGACACGACAAAAGAGCTCACGTACCTTTCCGAGTTTTTGGACTTCTATGTGAAGGATCCGAGGAACAGATGCAGGTTCGAAAAGCCCCAAGTCAAGCACCGCAAGGACCGGAACATATACTATAAGCTCGGTAGAAAGAGGGAGAAAGTGTGGGCTTACTTGTTCGGTGACGCTCCACAGTCGGCGGTTGATAACGACTACGTCATCAGGAAAAGCAAACTCGAGATAGCAATGAACGAGTACCACGGCTCGCACATGGGTGCTTTCCACATGTTCGTCGCACGTTGTGCGCATCTGTATTTGAATATGAAGAAAAGAGCACCGGTAGGCCGGGACTATGCAGACTTGGCACGTAAAGCCGGCAACATCAACAACATCGATTGCGACGAAAACATGTCAGACTCTGATCTGGATGTCCCGTCGCGCGCGGCACGAGGTGCGGCGGAGGGAGCGCGTGGCGAGGAGCCGCAAGGGAGCACCAACGGACCTGGGGGAAAAGCGAGTTCGAGTATGGGAGCAACACGTGCGAGTGAACAAAGAGTCATCAGAGGAGGATTGGGGTCATCATATTTTCTGGCATGAGGATGTGTTCGAACCGTGTGTGTTTGCAGGCCAGTGGCAGATGGCTGTGAAGAGAAGAGACCGAGGGTGGGTCGCGAAGGAAAAAAAAGACGCTGCGATATGGCACAGCGTGACGGAAACGCAAATTTATCGGCGAGTTTTGAAAGAAAACGTCGGTGCAAGCGAGGAAGCTATAGCGGCAAAGGCGAAAGTTTTGTTCGAGCATCTACGTGCGAACAAAAAGCTAGAATTCAGCACAAAGTTCTACAACCTTGCATCAAGTGTATCGTACGGCTCCATCAATTGGAAAATCGAACTGGCTTCAGCAGTAAAAGGAATCGATAGCATCAACTCTCTGAAGACTCAGGACGTTATCGCGTCTAACACCATCATTGAGATTGCCAGAGGGGATCCATCCTGCGAAAAGGATACACGTGCGAACGCAGGTCACGTGCAGGATGAACAGCAGCGAGCATGTGCTCAACAAAGCACTCCGAGAAGCGCAATGGGGGATTCCACAATGATACGCAAGGACGGCGACGACATGGAGTTGGGCGCATTGATAGAGCAACCAACAGGGGGGGTCAACGATGGGACAACAAACGTTGGATCTTTCGGGTCTCTTGTAGCGGCAATGACAGCGAGGCAAGGCATATCTGAGATGATGGAGACTGATGCTGGCCAGGATGATGGAAGCCAGGCGGTGAAGGTGTCACAAGAGGAGGTGGCAGCAACAACAGAGCAGGCAACAAAAGGTGAGGGATCCCGCGAACACATGTCCATAATAGATATGACATCGGAGAGTACGGGCGAGGATATGATACAAGAGAAGGAACAGAAAGATGACAACAATGCGCCAAGAGTTGAAGGTGACCACGAACAGGACGTGCAACAACTGAGACGGCCGACGAGGCCAGTGATTAAGAAAGTTGTGGTGGATGCGTAGACATTGCTTAGATGGTCATGGACGTTTACATGGTTCAGGTTATATAGATCTGTTGGCGCAACTTAGTAGGTTTGAAAACTATGTGAGACAAGAATGGGTGTCTACACGTTATAGGTTATACTCTTGTGTTATTGGAAGTGTTATTGTGACAGTGCAGTTCTCGAAATTGCAGTACCGATCATAGAGGGTGGCTCATATCGATACGTAGATGCGTGTGTGTGTGTGTGTGTGTGTGTGTGTGTGTGTGTGTGTGTGTGTGTGTGTGTGTGTGTGTGTGTGTGTGTGTGTGTGTGTGTGTGTGTGTGT